AGGCAGTAGGTATTTATAGCATTTTCATAAACTGCCTCTCTGAACAAATACAGTCTCTTGACTTTGCTTTCCAGGACTGGTTTTGTTTAACCCCTGTAAGACTTGTTTTAAACCTTCTCCAGCACTCTGAAGAGAGTCATTCTGTCAGAGCCAGAGAGGCATCTCCATAGGGATTTCCCAATGCGTCTAGGTGGAAATACATGGGAGAGTGACTTTTTACATGGGCAAATAGTGATAGGACATGGGGAATGGTTTTAAACTAGAAGAGGATAGATTTAGATTAGATATTGGGAAGAAATTCTTCCCTGTGAGGGTGCTGAGGCACTGGCACAGGTTGCCCAGAGCAGCTGTGGCTGCTCCATCCCTGGGAGTGTTCCAGGCCAGGCTGGATGGGGCTTGGAGCAACCTGGGCTAGTGGAAGGTGTCCCTGCCCATGGCAGGGGGTGGGACTGGACGAGCTTTAAAGTCCCTCCCAACCCAAGCCTTTGTTTTCTAATTTCTATGATTTTCTTGTTGACTTAGAAAATTAGGGTAGATTTCTCATCTGTGCCTCTAACTGGTGCAGGTATTGACCTTTAATCTACAGAATACTCAGAATAGCTCCTCTCCAGGCCAAATACAGGTTCAGGGAGGCCCCTGTGCTGTGGCCATGGCCATAAAGACTAGAAACAATTTGGTTTAGGGGAAAAATTAGGCCTGAAGTGAGCACTGTGAGCCATAGAATCAATAAATGTATTGTCTTCAGTAGCAGTTGTAAGTGGGGATCGTTTTCACTTGGACTCTACAAATAAAACATCCTGCAGTTCATTACAGCTCCAACCTTGAAGTGTTCTTTGAGCTGATGAAAATAGGAGGTCAGGCTGCTTGGAATGTTGCTGTTCCAGTTCCCTTTGCTGTTGAAAACTGCCTCCAGATGCAGCTCCTTCCAGCTGGGAGAGCCTGTGGCAAAGGCCAGCCCAGTGACCACAGTCTCCCAGCGTATGATGCCACTGATGCCATTTGCTGCAAGATGATTCTGTGGTTGTTTTATTTAAAAGGCAAATGATCTTGTCATGTAGGAGAGATTATTTCAGAGCATCCTGTTTTACGTGTGAGGAAATGAGGTCATTCCTCCAACCCTTCCCATGGAGAAAGGGGGATGCAGGGAACAGGACAGTGATAGCAGTCAGCCCTGCTGATGTTTGAGGGCAGAGGGACTTGCCTCCACAGCTGACTGTGGCTGGGGGCATTGAGGTGATTGAATAAATGAGGATGGTTTGAAGAGGTCCTTGAAGTCCCTGGAACAATTGGAAATGTCACCAGGCTGTGTGGAAACAGCAGTTGCAGCAAAACAACTGAGCACTTCATGCCAGACACACACTTGAGGACAATTAGGATGTTTGAGTCTGAACACAGATACCTTGGCAGTGATCCTGGTGGTGCTGACAGGTGCTGAGCAGGTAACAGCCTAGTGGGGGGTGAACAAGGCCCTCAAGTCAGGGCTGGATTTAATAATCTCTTAAGATGCTACATTTAGTCTTCCAAGGAGCAAACACCTGGTTCCCCAGAAGGAGAGGGAGAGGATCACGTGCGCCACTGTTTTTTCAGGGTCTGGAGGGCTCTGCCAGCACAGCTCCTGTGCCCAGGGCTGCATCAGTGGGGATTGCCCAAGCCCCTAAGAGCAGGTGGAAGGTGCTGATTTGGAAACATGCTGCTTTCTAAAAATAATGACAGCAGGAAGACTATAAACGAACATCTCTCCCCCTCCAAAATCAGTCATCCACAGCACGTTCTAAGTTCCAGCAGTTGGTTGAAATAAGCCTTAGAAGATCCTGTGAGCAAGAAATGCCTAGTGCTGCAAAGCTGAAGCTTAAGCAACACTTCCACATTGTATTGTTATTAATGCATCCCCAGTTCTTCAAAGTTTCTGAGTTTTTTGTTTTCCATTTGTGATGTTTCTTAGAGCTTTAAACTTATTTTTATAGCTTTAGTTAACGCTTTGACCACATGTACATGACCAGGGGTCTGTTTTGTGGGGATTGGGTGATTGCCTTCTAGCAAAGACTGTACTGCCCCTCAGCTGTGCTGGGTACCATAAAGGGATCCCCAGGAACAAGCCAAGGGGATGTTGTGCTTTCCCCCTGTAAACACTACAAACAGTGTTCATGCTTTGTGTTGGGAGGTGGGAGAATGAATTTGGGTGTAGCTTACTGACCCTGATATCTGCCTGAAATTTCTGCCTTGCTGTGCCCTCGTCTTGTTTGGCCTGGCTGTGCAGTTTGACACCAGATAGTCATCGATTTCCTTTCCCTGATTACAGCCCTGTTAATGTCAACAGCAGCTGGGAAACGTGAGCTGAGCTCCTGGTGGATGTGCCACCAAACCACCACACTGCTGCTGTTGGTCGTGCTCTGAGCAGGGCGGTGGCAGGGCACCCTGGGCAGAGTACTGTCCCTGGGGAGGGCACACAGGGAGCACAGCTTTGGGGAGCAGCAGATACCTCTGCCTGCCCTTGCACTCCCAGATAGTCAGAGAATTCCTGACAAGAGTCTACCCTGATCTGGTATTAAATAGGGCAGGCAAATCTGCAGCCTTGCACAAAGCCAGTTTGGGATCACCAGCACTGTCTTTCGTAACCCAGATAAATTTGTGGTTGCAGCCCGAGGGTGTGAACAGCTCTTACAGGTAGCATAAATAAATATTCCATATGAAGAGGAAGCAGCTATGGCTGCAAGGCCCAAAAAGATTTTCTGTCTCACCACTCTGACAGGGAAAACTTCTGCCTAAGATTTAATTTAAATTTTCTGCTTTCAATTTATCCCCATTACAATTTGTTAGCATGCTGGTGGCTACCTCAGGGGTGGAAGTGGTAAAGTTAACAGTATTGTTTGATGAAAATGGTCTGTTGTCTGCAGATATTTAGACTAGATATTAGAAAAAAGTTCTTTCCTGTGAGAGTGGTGAGACACTTGCACAGGTTGTCCAGGGAGTCCGTGGCTCCCCCAACCCTGGCAGTGTTCAAATCCTTGAGCATCCTGATCCTAGTGGGGAGGTGTCCCTCCCCATGGCAGGGGGAGTTGGGACTAGATGATCTATAAGGTCCATTCCAACCCCTAAAATTCTTTGATTCTCTGATACATATGTATATGTGTGTGTGTATATATATATATATATATCACTGTCAGCAGGTTTTGGGACTGGGAGGTAGGAGCTTGCAATCTGAGGTGCAAAACTTTGCTGAGATCAGGGAATATGGATTGGAGCAGAGAAGTTAAGGGAATGACAGCCCTGCAGCCATCAGAGCTGTACTAGGAAAACACTTGAGTGGGTTTGGTTTTGTACTGCCCATCTGTGGTGTTGGGTGGCCTGGCAGGTGTACAGGGCTGTGCTAGTACATGACAACATCTGCATGTCAGGGGCTTGAGAAAAGGCATGGATGGACCAAGACAGTGTGTAGAGGTTTGGTCTGAAGGACGGAACCCCTTTGCTGGAGGCCAAGGACTGTGGGTTGGGGCAAGGAACCAAGGAGAGTGACAGCCCTGCCACCCCATGCAGCCCCACACCATTGTACTGTTGTGGCTTAGGGACACTTGATTTGCCGTGGGTTGTGTGGGAAAGGGGCTGCCCTGAGCCGTGCCTCAGTGACCTGCTGCCTCACTGTGCCCAGGAGCAGGGCCCCTTTTGCTTTTCATGTGTAAGGCTAACCTGACTGTCCATGACCTGGGGTGGCCATGGAGCAGCACAGCTCCCTGCCCAGCCTGCAGGACAAAGCCTGGCTGTGCTCCACCACTGAGAGGCAAGAGCAGCGTAACCCAGGGCTGTCCAGGCAGGGCTTCCCGTGAGACCTGCAGCTCCTGCCAGGGGAGCAGGATCCCTGAGGGTCCTGAGCAGGGCTCGGTGTGCCACAGCCTCTTGGGAGGAACCTGACAGCAGCACTGGCTTCCCACTCTGTGGCCCTCCCAGGAGGTGAAGAGTTGGCTAGGCAGTGCAGTGCAAGGAGAGAGGGTGGTGGAGCCTCTCTGGTGATGCCTAGCAGTAGGGCAGTGTTAGACGTGACAGAGCTCCTCTGCTTACCTGTGAAGGGGCTCAGACAACCACAGGAGCCCAAATCACACCCTGCTGGGTTACTCCCAGTTCTTTCCAGAGGCCATCCCAGGCCCATCTGTACAAGCCCAGAGCAGGGACAGACGATGACCGGTGGGTCCCCAAGCCAAGAACCTTTGAGCACCGAACACCCTGTCCAGGCCACTCATGCAGTTCATTGTTTCAGTAGAGCCTTAGTGTCCAGGTGTGACACTAGGCACTCTGAGCCACGGGGAGTAACTGCAGAGGTTTGGAACTAAGGAGGAGGCTGCTGCCAAGGGTGGGATGTGTTGTGGTGTGCGGGAGGAAAAGCAGTTTAGGATTGCAGAGGACTTAGTGGGAGGAGCCAGAGGTAGGGTAAGAAAGGGAGTTTGGTGATTTGGAGAGGACCAAGAGTGGGGAGTACAGGGGTGAGGGGATAAAAGGGGTCAGTTGTGTATAGGCAGGTGGCTGGTCAGTGTGTTTGGCCTTGCCCTACCCAGTGCCACTGTTCTGGCTGGACAGCAGTTGGAGTGGGACTGGGGCCTCAAGGGCTTGTGTGCCCAGAGCAGACTGAGTGCCTCAGTGCAGCTGCTGTAGGATCCACATTTTACATGTACTGTCTCTAGTGTGGGCTTCCATCCTGTCAAGCCAGAGACAGGAGCAGGCTGAGGCTGTGGCTGCTGTCCAGGATCATGGGAATGCTCCTCTGATCCATGTGGGCAACCACGTGTGTCTCCATATGTGTGGTGGATATGTGTGCTCTGTGCCTGCTGGGCATATCTTCAGCCTCACTACCAGCTGGATCCGGGGCCACAGAGCACTTTTGGGCTGTTGCATCCAAACAATAGCCTTTTCTCTAACACATAGCAGCTGGGTTTGTCAGATACTTCAAAGGTGTGTTCCTACCATCAGCGTCTAACAAACTTTATGGCTTCTCTCCGTTTTTATAGGAAAAACCATCACCTTCATCCAGACACTGAAACTTGTCAACTGATGGGACAAAGAGCTGAGACACTTGGCTGTACTAGGACACAAAAACATAGGTTTTAGGCAAAGAATATTTCCCCACCGTGGAGACTGACACCTGCCAAACCCTGTAACATTCTTGGGAGGCTTTTCTATCCCTCTTCTCCATTTCCAGATTTTCACACATCATGGTATTCCATTTGACTTCTTTTGCAAGCTAGCTCTGGCTCTGCCTTCTGCTTCCCCTGTGCTTTGGTTTGGGTCCCCAGTGTAAGCTGCTGGCTATAGGCTGGTTCTGCATCTCTGCCTCCAGCTGCTGCTTGGAGGCTTCTCTTGGATGTTGTGACTGACCTGCTTTTTCTTTCTCTTTCACTGTATCTCTCCCTCTCTCTCTCTCTCCCCCTCTCTCTCTCTCTCTCTCCAACCTGTCTTCTGCGTTCTCCATTCTTCCCACCTCCATCACTGCAGGTTCATCATGCCTAGTGGCATATAAAAAGACTCCACCTCCTGTCCCACCTCGGACCACATCCAAGCCGTTCATCTCTGTCACTGTGCAGAGCAGCACTGAGTCGGCGCAGGACACCTACCTGGACAGCCAGGACCACAAGAGCGAGGTGACCAGCCAGTCGGGGCTCAGCAACTCCTCGGACAGCTTGGACAGCACCAGGACACCCAGCGTGACCCGGGGGAGCGTCGTCACTCCAGCCAGAGACACCCCAGAGTTACCTCAGAAAAATGCCACTTTGAAAAGTGACAAAGGGACTCTGACCAACGAAGAGCCTAAAGTGGAGAACGTCCCCAAAAGAAAGCTGTCGTCTATAGGAATACAAGTATGGAACAGTTTGTTCTCCTTTGTCCAAGGAATGTCCTTCCCCCATCTATTTCGCATGTGCCTTTTTTCTGTGGCCAAGTGTGCTCACTGAGAATACCAAGAGACACTCACTGCCTTGTCAGACTAACTGCCTGTGTCCCTGGGGCGGGAGACAGCAGCAGCTTCCCATAACAACCCAGAAAGGGCTAAGTTCTTTTAGTACAAAATTTGAATGTTCCCTAGAGCAGTGGGATGGTGTTACCTGGGTGAGTCCCTCTGCAGAGGTCTTCTGCTGCTAGTCTGCCTGTGCTCTGTATTCCTTCACATCAGTCTGCTCCTTGTCCACTGTGGTTCTAGGGACAGTTTCTTCCTGAGAGGTGAGCCCTTCTGCTTGGCATCCATGTGGGATGGGCTGCTGCACTGTCAAATGGTCCCAGGGCTGTAGGCAGCAGGAGGGAGCAGTGGTGTTGTCCACCATTCCTAGCAGGTTGCTGCTTCCCTTGCTGGAAGCCTTTCGCTCTGGAAATCACTCTGGAAATGAGCTGTTAAAGTCAAATGAGAACCCAGTGAGTAGTGTAAATCCATGCTTTAGTCGGCGAAGTTGCAGTGCTCTGCAGCTGTCCCCTCCTCTGGGGACAGGTTTCTCAGTGACAAGTGGCTGCTGCCAGCTCTTGTTCTGTCCCAGGTGCTGGATCAGAGCTGCAGATGGGAACTTGGGCAGGTCCAAGTGCAGGCTCTGAGCTTAAAGCCACTCTGTGTGTGTGTGTGTGTGTGTGTGTGCTGAACAGGTTCTCCATTGGCTTTGCAGCAAGGCTACCTGGCCAGTTAGCTACAGGTGATAGTCAAGGCTTCTCTGCAGGCCTAGTGGGGCAGAACACATGCTGAAAGGGCAGCAGGGTGAGAGGACATGGACTGGAGAGACTGACTGCCTTCCTCTCCTCTTCCTTCTCTGAGCTGGTTCCCAGGACACCTGGATTTCTTTCCTAAAACCTTCTAACCCTCTTATCCATAGCTGTGAAGGGTGTCAGTCCCTGGGAGAGAGGAAACAGGGCTTTGCTGTCAGTCTTGATCAGATTGCTGTCCTCTTTGAATCCCTTGTCCGTTACCCCTGTGGGGGGACACACGCACAGGGACACACAGCCCTGCCCCAGCCATGCCAACAGCAGTGGGTGGGCAGGGCTGAGGGCTCCTAGAGCAGGTACCTGGCAGGACACAGCCCTGATCCTCAGGTGGAAGCAGACCTGAGCAGTAGCCTTGTGCCTGTCCTTAGACAACCTTCCCGTTGGCATGTGGTGTCAGCATGCTCTGTGTGTGTGCAGCATTCCTGGTCTACTAACGTGAATTCCAGCAGCAAGTTCTTGTGTCTGTTTTTGTCTGTCTTTTTTTTGTTCAATAAGGTTGACTGCCTTCAGCCAGTGGCAAAAGAGGAACCTCCTCCACCAGCCACCAAATTCCAGTCCATCGGGGTACAGGTAGAGGACGAGTGGCGGTAAGTGAGACACAAACTTGTGTAGTTTTCTTTCCTTTAAATTGTGCTTCCCCCACTTCTGCTTAGACCTTCTTCCCTGCTTTGTGCCAGTGAGGGGTGTTGAATGGGGCCCACAGAGAGCTTCCTCCACAGCACACACCCACTGCAAAAAGCACCTGTTCTGTTACAGCCAAATCAATGGGAGCTTGAAATTAGCTAAAACATAACCCCTGACAAGCCGCATTTGCAGACTGTCAGCCCTCTCGCCTGAACGGCCGACTGCAGTAAGCAGGCAACCTTATACCTCTGTCTGTCTGAGTGTGTGCTGTGTCTGTGTGTGAGGAGGGCAGGGCAGGCCGTGCCGCACGCACCAACCACACGGATGTCGCCAGCCAGGCCCGGTCCTGCCACTCAGTGTTTGCTTTTGATCTCTCTAGAAACAGCCACTCTCGCAGCATGTCCTCCAAACAGGACACAGACTCTGACACACAGGAGCCCAATAACTCTAGCTGTAAATCATCTGAGAGAAGCCTCGCTGAGTGCCCCCAGCACAACAACTCCGTCGGTGTTGATGCCAGCACCAGGCAACCAGCCAAGCCCTCACAGATTAAGAGAAACCTCTCCTATGGAGAAAACAACGACCCAGCCCTGGAGCCTTCTTCTCTCCCTCCTCCTGACCCCTGGCTTGAGACGTCCTCCACCTCGCCCTCGGAGCCGGCGCAGCCGGGGCCCTGCCGGCGGGACGGCTTCTGGTTCCTGAAGCTGCTGCAGGCGGAGACGGAGCGGTTGGAAGGCTGGTGCCGTCAGATGGACCAGGAGACCAAAGAGAACAATCTCTCTGAGGAAGGTGGGTGTTGGCAGCCTCTGAACTGGAGCAGCCTGGCAGTTCCTCCCTCAAGAAGGAGTTGGAACTGTGTGTTGGGTCAGGTGTTAAATGGGGGCTGCCCCATCCTTGGGAGTGTTCCAAGCCAGGCTGGACTCCAGCCCAAACCTTTCCATGATTCTGTGAAATTGCTGATAGCTCACAGAGCCAGAACAAGGAGATGATGTGACGAGGCACACTTTTTTCTTGGGAAGGATAAGGTAACTTCCCCTAGCAAATGAAGTAAGAAATAATGCTGTGATGCAGCACGTGAGACGTGCAGGGAATGGTGCAGCTTCTGACCACCGTAAAATGCTAAAAGCTTAAGTGGTTTTAATGTTAAAAAGGGTTAAATGGAAAAAGCTTTCAGGAAGGCCATGGGATCTTTCCTGCCTCACCCATGGCACTCACACGGGCAGGGGAAAGCTTAGCTGGCAGTGGGGCAGAATAAACACAACTTCTGAGCTTGTGTGGTCTGTTTGGTTGATGAACGTGTCTTTACAGCAAAGAGGAGGTTGTTCATGTGGGAAAGCTTCATGGAATTTGTGCTGAATACACCAAAAGCACAGGGAATACAAGGCCACTTGATCTTAATGGGTTCAGTTCCAACTGGGTTTGTTGCTTTATTTTCAAATGAGTTGGCAAAACCTGGACCTTTTGCAGTAGGAATCATGCCCATGGTGCACACAGAGTGACAGGAGTGGGTGACAGGGCTGCAGAGGGCAGGATCTTTGTGTGGAGTCTGGCTCGTTTTTATTTTTATAATACCTGAGAAAGGTGAAGCAAAGGTGAGGCTCTCTTTTAGCTCACTGTCACTGCTGGGGCTTGGGGAGCTAATCCCTAATCTGACTGCCCTGAGGTGCTGCCCTGGCTGCCAAGGGGACAAGCCGTGCCAGGGATCTCCCTGCCTCAGGGCTGACCTGGTTTGACCTGTGGCAAGAGTGCTCTGGCAGGAAAAGGCACCAAGACCCATGTGGCATGATACCTGTGACCTTAGAACAGTCTGCTGGTAGATGCTGTAACCAAACACTTGGTGGGTGCAAGGAGAGCCCAGGGTGCACTTGTCCCCCCAAGTCCCTACACACAGACCTGGCTCAGGGGCAGCAGCAGAGCAGGGGAGAGAGGGACTCAGCTGGTCCCTGCTGGTGCTGCAGCTGCAGGCACCATGGGGCTCTGGCAGGGAAAAGCTCACACTGTGTATTTCCACTAATGAGCAGAGGAATATAGCTGTGCCCAGAGGCTGCTTGGAAAACCCATTAAGAGCAGCATGAAGTCCTGGGTGTTAAAAGCCTCTGTGTGCTAATCCCTGCTGGTACCCAGGGGTTGGGGACAGGTGTCCTGCCCCTTGCCACCTTCACCTTGTGCAGGAGTGGAAGAGCAGGTTGTGATCAGAGCAGAACAGCAGACCTGCTCGCTGAGGTGGTGCTACCAGCTCCTCTGAGGTGCTGAGGGTGGTCTGAGGGATGTTTTGCCAGCTCGGATGGTGTAATATTCTCAGTCTGGTCTGCGTTTGGCCTACCAGGAGCAGTAGTAGATGGTAGAGACAAATGTAGTTTCCAGACATCTTTCCCTGAGAGCAGTTAGTGCCTTGAGGATCTCTGAAACTCCTTTTCTAAGGAGTGTTTCTTTGCTCCAGAAACTGGAGTTCATTGCTGCAGTTAATATTTGGTTCAACTGAGGTATTTTTCTTTCCTTTTTTTCCTCCCCCACAGTCTTAGGAAAAGTCCTGAGTGCAGTGGGCAGTGCACAGTTACTAATGTCACAGAAGTTTCAGCAATTCCACGGCCTCTGTGAACAGAACTTGGTGAGTCTGGATCTGTTTCTCCTGGTTTCTGAGGGGAGGATGAGTCTTGTTTCAGCACCATCACAGGAACATGGTCAGTTGCTAACAGGCTGCTGTCAGTGTGAAGACACAGCCAGTGCAGCTGCAGCCTGCCCACAGTGCCAGGGTGGGTAAGGGCTGTGTGGCAGCTGCTTGTTGCTTCTGAGGAGCTTTTTGAGGGGTGCAACTGAGGTAGGGCCAAACAGGGCTGTTTGAAGCCTGCTCTTCAGCAAACACACTTGGTCTGCATGTGGGTGATGTGGCTGGTGAAACTGTCCCTGCAGGACTGTCACTCTGGTCACACAGCACTGTGGGGATTGATCTCTGTGAAGGGATTTGCAGGGGTTTGCCCTTGCTCAGAGCTGAACAGGGCTAATGGGGATTGATGGAATCTGTGTTCGGGTTTTCCCCTCAAGCTTTATGGTAATATGGATTTTGCAGACTTCCTGAGAGGTGAATTCCCCTTTACATGTAAAATAATCTTAGCAAAACTCGAGGAGGAGAGGGTGAAGTGCTGAGCATCTGCCTGCTGATCTCTAGCTGATCACAGCTGAGCTGAGCAGCAGCACCACAAGCTGCCAGGCTGTCAGCAGAGCTTTGTGCCGAGTTGCTTGGATCTGATCC